AGGAGGAGAGTCCCGCATGTTGCGGCCCCGCGGCAGCGGCGACGCGGTGCGGCGCCAGGAGGAGGAGAGGAGGAGCAGGAGGCCCTCGCCGACCTTCCCAATGCTCGTTGTCCTCTGGCCACGCAGGTGGGTTCGGCGCGCCTGGAACTCTTGCGGCCAGCAGCCCCGGCCAGCGAAGTCCAGGCCCCGCAGAGCAGGTACCCGCCGGTCGTTGAAAGTAGGAATTGTCGGATGCCCAGCTCCCAATTTACTTCAAGCGCCTTCCTACTTCAAGAGCCGGTGTGTGTGTGTGCGTGTGTGTGTGTGCGTGTTTGTGGTTGTGGTTGTTTTTGTGTTTATGTTTGTGGTTGTGGCTGTGGTTGTGGTTGTGGTTGTGTTTGTGTTTGTGTTTGTGTTTGTGTTTGTGTTTGTGTGTGTGTGTTTGTGTTTGTGTTTATGTTTGTGTTTGTGTTTGTGTTTGTGTTTGTGTTTGTGCGTGCGTGCGTGCGTGCGTGTGTGTGTGTGAGTGTGTGTTTGCTGCGTGTTGTTATCCTTTTGGATGGGCCTGAATCCAACCTGCTTTCTCCGCCGTCCTACTTCATGTTTTGACCTACTTCTTCCGACCGACGTATGGTGCCACCCCAATGTGCAGCTACGTTGAGCTTGTTGGCAAAAGCCATGGGGGGCACCCTCGCCTGGCTCCAAGACGATGACGAATTATCGTTGGTTCGCTCCCGATGGTATCCCCTGGAGCGAAGCCGCTTCAGTTTGAACGTGAGCTACTGTCAGAAAATGTATGCGTCCTTCGTGATCTCTCTCTCTCTCTCTCTGTCTCTCTCTCCCTCTCTCGTCTCCCATTTCTTTTGAAACCATACATCGGATGCGTTCAGAAGTTCGTCCCCCCTGCGGTAGCCCACTGGCCCGTGTTCAACAAGCTGTATTGTGCAGACCGAAGCGTTTCGGAGAGCTCTTGCGCGGAAGATCTTTCTTGTGGTGTTTTTCTCCTGGTCGGGGCATCTGCGGGGGCTTGCAGAGTCGGCCGGGGCTGAGCGAGGTCGGGCAGGGATTGGGCGAACGCCCGTCGTTTGCACACCGTCGTCGTCGTTGTCGTCGTCGCATGCATAGCAGGCCATACTTGAGCGACAGCAGGGCTCAGCCTGGCGGCCGAGCGGTCGCGGACGCACCCCCTGAGCTCGCTGTTGAACCTGTCTGGGGCCTCGCGCGAGTCCGAGGGCTGGCAGTTCGTGGCCTCTGTGGGACGTGGGATCTCCTCCTCCTCCTCCTCCTCCTCCTCCACCTCCTCCTCCTCCGCAGCGGCTCGCAGAGGTCGCGGCATCGTGGCCCACGTGCGCGGGCGGGAGGCGCTCCAGCGTGGATCCAGTGGCGGTCGTGGCCTTCTGGCACATGCTCGGAGGTTGATCCTACCCTCGTTGGGGATACACCCCTCGAAACCCGAAGGGAGCGGCCCATATCCCCATCTAGGGGGGTAATTAAATCGGCCAGTGGTGCCCAGGCCACGGCGCTGGGGATGCGGATCGGTTAAACGATACTCATAGACCCCATCTTCTTGCGGCAATTCAAGCTGGGTCGACCTGTGATCGGAGGTTGGTAGACCTCCTACCCTGACACGTCAATTTGCGAATTGGCCGTTTTCGGTTCGCGAGAGGGCGTCGCGGCCGTCATTTTTGCGGGCCCAGGTCCGTCGGCTTCGGTCCTAGGCCGTTTTCACTAAAGGATGGTTTACTAAAGGGAGGTTTGTCCACCGCCGACGTGTGGGTGGGTGTGTGGGTGAAAAGAGAGAGCTGGTGCCCTTCCAAAGTGAACCTGGCGGCTCGTGGCTCCGTGAATTTTCGTTGCCCCCGCGTGTGAGGTGGCCTTGAAGAGAGGGTTCTGTGACTCATCGGTGGCACCCCGTGTGGTCGGCACCTTTCACTCCCCCATCCTGCAACGCCACAGCTGAGATCGAGGCCGCGTCCTCGAGGCCACGACGCGGCCGGTGGCGCTCGTGGCACGGAGCTACTCGTTGCCCTTCCTGGCTGTGTAGGCTGGGGTGGTCGCCTTCAACAGCAACTGTGGTGGTTTGGGGGCCATGGTTCGTGTGTGTGTATGTGCAGTAACTTTGCCTCGCCGCCGACGGAAAAACAGTGTGTGTGTGTATGCGTGTGTGATGCGCTCCTCGTTTTCTGGCCGCTGTATGTTTCGTTTGGGCTTACAGTTCCTCTTACCCACCCATCGCTTGCATGTTGCAGTGTGCGGCGTTTGTACACTATGCTATCGGCAATGCTCCGTCGCGATTGGCACTTCCATCTGCTGCTCGCGCCTGGGGACCCTCAGCGCCGCTGACTTACAACAGTGTGGGGGTGTGTATCCGCTCGTGCGCACGCTCTCCGCTTACGACCGCCTGCCTGACTCCGCCGCGTTGTTGCGCGCGCGATCGCGACGCCAAATTGTATGTATGTGCGTGTGTGTGTGCGTACGTGCGTTTGTTTGCGTGTTTGTGTGTGTGTTTGTGTGTGTTTGTGTGTGTGTGTGTGTGTCTGTCTGTGCGTGTGTGCGTGCATGTGTGTGTGTGCGTGTGCGCGTTTGCGCGTGTGCGCATGTGCGCGTGTGCGCGTATGCGCTTGTGCGTGCGCGTGCGCGTGCTCGTGCGCGTGCACGTGCGCGTTCGCGTGCGTGGGTGTGTGGTGTGTGGCGCGTGGTGTGTGGTGTGTGGTGTGTAAGTGTGTAAGTGTGTGCGCGTGTACGTGTAAGTGTAAGTTTCTGTGTGTCCGTGTGTCTGTGTGTTTGTGTGTCTGTGTGTCTGTGTGTCTGTTTGTGTGTGGGTGCGAGTGGGTGTGAGTGGGTGTGTGTCACGGTGTGTGTGGGTGTGTGTGTGTGTGTCTGTTTGTGTCTGTGTGTGTGTGTCTCTGTGTGTGTCTGGGTGTGCCTGTGTGTGTGTTTGTCTGTGTGTGTGTGTTTGTGTGTGTGTCTGTGTGTGCGTCTGTGTGTGTCTGTGTGTGTGTCGTTGTGTGTCTGTGTGTGTGTGTCTGTGTGTTTCTGTGTGTTTCTGTGTGTCGGTGCGTCGGTGCGTCGGTGCGTGAGTGCGTGGGTGCGTGGTTGCGTGGGTGAGTGCGTGCGTGTGCGTGCGTGTGCGTGCGTGTGCGTGGGTGTGCGTGGGTGTGCGTGCGTGTGCGTGCGTGTGCGTGCGAGTGCGTGCGAGTGCGTGCGAGTGCGTGTGCGCGCGTGTGCGTGCGTGTGCGTGCGTGTGCGTGCGTGCGTGTGCGTGCGTGCGTGTGTGTGTGCGTTTGCGTGCGTGTGCGTGCGTGTGCGTGCGTGTGCGTGCGTGTGCGTGCGTGTCTGTGTGTCTTTGCGTGCGCGTGTGTGTGTGTGTATGTCTGCGTGTATGTATGTGTGTGGTTGTGTGTGTCTGTGTGTGTTTGCGTGTGTGTGCGTGTTTACGTGTGTGTGTGTTTGTTTGTGTGCTTGTGTGTGTTTGTGTGTGGTTGTCTGTGTGGTTGTCTGTGTGTTTGTGTGTGTGTTCGTGTGTGTGTGCGTTTGTGTGTGTGGTTGTGTGTGCTTGTTTGTGTCTGTTTGTGTGTGTGTTTGCGTGCGTGCAGTTGTGTGTGTCTTTGCGTGTGTGTGTGTGTTTGTGTGTTTTGTGTGTGTGTGTGTTTGTGTTTTTTTTTGTTTGGTTGTGTGTGTGTTTGTTTGTGCGTGCGTGTTTGTGTGAGGTTGTGTGTGGTGGTGTATGGCTGTGTGTGTTTTGTGTATGTGTTTGTGTGTGTTTGGGTGTGGTTGTGGATGCGTGGTTATGTGTGGTTATGTTCGTCTATGTGTATGTATGTCTGCGTGTAATTGTTAATGCATGTATGTGTGTCTGTGTTTATGTCTATATGTCTGTATGTGTATGTGCTTAGTGTGTCTTGGAAACGCCCTGGTCATTTTGTATAGCTTCCAGCTTTCATTCAAAAACACGTTTCTCAATAGTTTCTGGCTCCTGTTGTTTTGTCGTTTCCAAGTCTCCGCGGCGATGCGTTGTTCGATGGTTTCCAACGTCAATCCAAGTAATCGTTTTGTTTTTGGTTTCCAACCTCGTTGCTTCATCGTTTCCAGGTCTGCCTCGCAACGTGCTGTGTTGTATCCGGTACTGGCAGGCAACGCACGATAAGAGCTCGACGCGCTCTCTCCAAAAGGCTTCTCTGAGCTCTTATCGTGCGTTGCCTGTCAATCGCTGTCCGATCCCGTGCGCGTCAGAGCCGGAGACATCGGCTGTGTCATAACGGCGGCGTCGGCGTCGTAACGGCGGCCTCAGCGGCGGCGGCGACATCCTCAACGTTTCCGCTTCCCCTGGGTCAAGGGTCGAAGTTGCTTGGTTCCGTTTGCAGTACGTTTCCAATACGTTTTCAACGCGTTTCCAACCTCCCATTCCGGTGGGTCGGACAGCGACTGACAGGTAACGCACGATAAGAGTTCAGCACTCTCTCCAAATAGCTTTTCTATTCCACCTCCTGCCCGCTGCACCCGCCATCTTCCTCCCATGCTGTCTGGTGCTGCTAGTGCCTGTTGCTACTGCCTGCTGCTACTGCTCGCTGCTGCTGATGCCCGCTGCGCCGCCCGCCCCGTATTATCATCGGCACTCTCGTTTTGTATCGCTTGTTCACCATCCCGTTCTTTTATATAGTTCCCAGGGGGCCGTTTCCTTACCGGTTCCAGCTTGCGCCGACTCGTTTCAGAATAGTTTCCATATGATCGTGCGGAAACGTTTTGTGATAGTTGCCAGCGTCCATGTTTTAATCGTTTCCACGTGCCCGCTGCTGGCTCACAAGACAAAAAAGCTGGAAACTATACAGAAACGCCCAGGGCGTTTCCAAGACACACTCCGTGTATGTGTGTGCGTGCGTGTGCGTGCGTGTGTGTGTGTTTGGTGTGTGTGTGAATGTGAGAATGTGTGAATGTGTGTGTGAATGTATGTGAGTGTGTTTGTGTGTGGTTGTGTGTGTGTTTGTGTGTGGGTGTCTGTGTCTGTGTGTGTTTGAGTGTGTGAATGTGTGTTTGAGTGTGCTTGTGTGTATGTATGTGTGTATGTGTGTTTGTGTGTGTGCGTGTGTTTGTGTGTGATTGTGTGTTTGTGTGTGTGTGTTTGTGTGGCTGTGCGTGATTGTGTGTGGTTGTGTGGTTGTGTGTATGTGTGGCTATGTGCGGTTATGTGCGTATGTGCGGTTATGTGCGTATGTGTGTACGTGTGTATGTGTGTATGCGTATGTGTGTATATGTGTGTATGTGTGTATGTGTGTATATGTGTTCGTGTGTGTGTGTTTATGTTTTTGGGGTTTGTGTGTGCGTGCGTGCGTGCGTGCGTGCGTGCGTGCGTGCGCGTGCGTGCGTGCGTGCGTGCGTGCGTGCGTGCGTGTGTGTGTGTGTGTGTGTGTGTGGGTGTGGGTGTGGGTGTGTGTGTGAGAGAGAGAGAGGATTCGTGTGTGTGTGTGCGTGTGTGGTTGTGTGGGTGGTCATTGTTGGCCTTTGTCCCCCTTGGCCCTGTTCCCGTGCCCTTCTAGCAGTGCCTGTTGGCCCTGGCACTTGCTGTAGTGTACATGGTCACGCACTTCGATCTCATCCGCCACGTCATTCCGCTTGACTGCTGTCTCCTCTTCCGCTCCTCGGTCGGTCCTGGGCTTGTCGGTGGCCGTTCGTCCGCCCCCTCTCGTCTGACCCCCCTGTCATCCACGCCAGAATGCCTTATAGCCAGCAGTGTTGGACGTTGCGCAATGGAGGGTCATAAATGGGGGGATGGCGAGGGTGGTCCGAAAAGGTACCCAAACGTCACCTAAACGAGCCCCCTGGGGCTCCAGAGGGGCCCGAAAGCGGCACGAAAGGGAACCGTTTCTGACTCCCCCATGTATGACCCCCCCCCCCATTCAGCCACGCCCAACAGTTGCAGCTGCTACAATGTCACCGTGAGGGCCTGGCCGCTCTAGACGCGCGCGTGCGACCGCTGCTACAGACGGTCTCCGTCCTGTCGCTGCGGGCAGGGCTGCGACGCCGAAAAGGGTGTGTATCTGGGTGTTGTGTGCTTTGCGGGTTTGTGTGTGCTTGTGTGTTTGTGTGCTTGTGTGTTTGTGTGTTGGTGTGTTTGTGTGTTTGATTGTTTATGCGGTTCTGTGTTTACGTTTGTGTGTTAGAGTGTTTGGTTGTGTGCGTGTGTGTTTGTGTGTGTTGTATGGGGGTGTTTGTTTGGTTTGTGATTGTTTTTGTGTTTGCGTGTGTTTGTATGTGTGGGGGGTATGTGTGTATGTGTGTGTGTGTGTCTGTGTGTGTGGGTGTGTCTGTGTCTGTGTCTGCGTCTGTGTGTGAATGAATGTGTGTGTGCTGTGTGTAGGGGGGGAGGGGTGTGTGTGTGGGTGTGTGTGGGAGTGTGCATGTTGATGTGTGAATGTGTGTGGGTGCGTGTGTGTGTGTGTGTGATTGCGTGTGTGTGTGCTTGCGTATGTGTGTGTGTGTGTGCGTGCGTGTGTGTACTTGCGCGCGTGTGTGTGTGTGCGCGCGCGTGCGTGTGCGTGTGCGTGTGCGTGTGCGTGTGGTGTGCGTGTGCGTGTGCGTGTGCGTGTGCGTGTGCGTGTGCGTGTTTGTGCGTGTGCGTGTGTGTGTGTGCGTGTGTGTGTGTGTGTGTTGCGTGTGTGCGCGTGTGTGCGCGTGGTGTGCGCGTGTGTGCGCGTGTGCGCGTGTGTGCGCGTGTGCGCGTGTGCGCGTGTGTGCGCGTTGTGCGCGTGTGCGCGTGTGCGCGTGTGCGCGTGTGCGCGTGTGCGCGTGTGCGCGTGTGCGCGTGTGCGCGTGTGCGCGTGTGCGCGTGTGTGTGCGCGTGTGCGCGTGTGCGCGTGTGCGCGTGTGCCGCGTGTGTGTGTGTGTGTGTGTGCGTGTGTGGTGTGTGCGCGTGTGTGGGTGTGCGGTGTGTGTGGGTGTGTGGTGTGTGGGTGTGTGTGGTGTGTGGGTGTGGGTGTGTGGGTGTGTGGGGGTGTGGGTGTGTGGGGTGTGGGGGTGTGGGGGTGGGGGGTGTGGTGGTGTGGGGGTGTGGGGTGTGTGGGTGGTGGTGTGGGGTGTGGGGTGTGTGGGTGTGGGGGGTGTGGGGGTGTGGGGGTGTGGGGGTGTGGGGGTGTGGGGGTGTGGGGGTGTGGGGGTGTGGGGGTGTGGGTGTGTGCGGATGTGTGTGGGTGTGTGTGGGTGTGTGTGTGGGTGTGTGTGTGTGGGTGTGTGTGGGTGTGTGTGTGTGTGTGAGTGTGTGTGCGTGTGTGCGTGCGTGCGTGCGTGCGTGCGTGCGTGCGTGTATGCGTGCGTGCGTGTATGGGAGAGCTTGTGTGTCCGCCCGCCTGACTCCGCCGCGTCGCTACGCGCGTGGCCGCCACGTCCCGACAAAACTATGCGTGCGTGCGTGAGCTTGTGGGGGAAAGGGTCCTCGCCAATTTGTACATGATGATGGGGACATATTCGCGGGCTGGGTTAGAACATTTAGCGCGCGCCCATGTCGTTGTCGCGTGTGCACGCGTCGTGAACATGGTGTGCCTGGCCTTCGGCCGCGGCCCGCCTTCCCGCAGGCAGGCACGAATTGCTTCAAGACTGGCTGCTGCAAGGGCGCGGGCCTGAGGTGCTACCTGCAGGAGCAGACGCGCGCGACGCCCCACCGACCGTCCGGCACCCTTCGAGGCAGTGACACCGCTCGTGGGGGGCGGTGCCCGCGGCCTCTATCTCGCCCACCCCCCTCCGTAAAGCAGCCGCTCTGGGCTCGAGGAAGTTCGGGCGTTGGTCCCATGGCCCCCAGCAGAGGCCGCGAAGTGCCGCGCGCGCTTTTGGTCTTGGCTCTGGCTGTCACACTACCCCAGCGGCCGCGCACCGAGGCGGTGCCAGCACAGGAGCCAGTGCTGCTGCGCTGTCCGGATCATGATGGAAAGTGGCCGACGTTGCTTGAGGAGGCCACGCGCGCGTTCCAGGCTGTGCAGCTTCCAAGCGCCGGTGGGCACGAGGCGGCTCGACGGTCCATGGCTGATGCTCTGGACGCTGCGATCGGCCACAACCTGTCCCGCGCCCTCGAGTGCTCCCTTGGCGTTGCGGCGGCTTATCGAGTGCTGGCACTGGCGCACGCACTGGACCCGACGGCCCGAGCAGGTGACTCTTGGGGGCACGCTCTTGGGATAGCGCTGCGCTTTCAGCAGCTCGCCGCGGGCTGGCTCATCTACGCCTACAACAACGACGCCAAGCACGATGCCGCCTTCATCGACGGCTCCTCATGGCCCATCCATGCTGCGGAGTTCGACGAGGAGCAGCGCGCAGTGCGGGCTGCTTTAGATGCCGCTTCATCAGCGCACTCGCCGTCACCTGAAGTGCAGAGTGGCCTCAGGATCCCTGGCTTTTCCCTCGCGATCGTCACCGTGTGCGCCTACCCCCCCGAAAACCACTTGCCCAGGCTGGCCACGTCGGTGCAGCAGATCTATGCGAACCTGCATGGCTACGCGTACCTCCCCAGGCTGGACAGCCCTGCAGACGGGCGCCCACCTGCTTGGGGGAAGGTGCGCGCGATGCAAGAGGTCCTGGAGCACGGCAGCTGGGAGTGGGTGCTCTGGGTCGACTGCGACATCTATTTCATGAACCTCACCACCACAATCGACTCGCTGCTGCTGCGATATGGTGGAGCGTTGGCGGGCGATGGTGTGGATCCCGATGTCCACCTGCTACTCACTGAAGACAAGCAGATGTTGAATACAGCTATCTTTCTAATGCGCAAGTCTCAGTGGAGCCTGGACCTCCTGACTCGAGTCTGGGGCTCGGAGGACTCGCCGTTCATTAACCACACATGGTGGGAGCAGGCAGCATTCGCCCAGGAGCTCCTCGGGAATAACTACCGCCGTTTCGCCGCCGTGCGGTATGGCTTGGCCGAGGGCCAGGGCGACATGTCTGGCGGCGGCGACGGCGGCGGCCCGGAGGCGTACCCTCGACAGGTGCGGGTACTTCCCCAGACCGAGATGAACTCCTACCACCCCATCTCGTCGGCTGGAGGCGACAGTTGGCAACCGGGCCAGTTCGTGTTGTCGTTCAATGGCGTTCAGTCGCTCAGCGGTCCGACGTTGGCAGGCGTGCTCCACGCCAACTACTACGAGCTCTTCTGCAGCCGCAACGCCGTTGAGGCGCTCTGCCACCGCCCTGAGGACGCGCTCTTCGCACCCTGGCTCGCAGGCGCTAGTGCTGGCTGACCAGAGCTGGGTTCATCCTCGTCCTCATCTTCTTCGACCTCGTGTGTTGGCGTCGTTGTCTTGCTGCTCTTCTACTTCTCCGCAGAAGACGTCCCAGCGTTGCCCCCAGAGTGACATAGCTAGTACCCGATATCCATGATGCAAAGCCCCCGTTAGAAATCTCGTTCCCAACTCCGTGCGCTGGTACCAAGTATCCCCTACCAGCATTAAGTTGGGAAGACCTTAGCATTCCAGCCCCAGCCTTCGAAAGAGCGATGATGCAACCTACGCTGATGGCGATGATGAGGGCGGTGGCAATGCTGATGACGATTTCTGCTGTGATCGCCGTGGTAATGATCATAGTCGTGATATTTCGATCCGGTATCGATCAAGTGGCACTCAAATCATTATCGCATTGATTGCAGTTGGAATAGCTGCGACCAATGAAGCGTTGATGATCATTGCGTGAATGCGGAATTGAATTCCAAGTGTTAGTGTGTTGTTGGCTGTAGTCATGCAAGCGGTATCGTTTTTGTGAGTTGCAAGGCAGCTCGAATGTAAAACCGCGAATGTGGTTCTGAATGGCGAGAAACGCAGCAATGATTTGGGTAACCATCTGTAACAGGATAATGGTAATGCACATGGTAATGGTATGGGTTATATTGCCCAAGTGACGGTGATGATGGTGTTGACCGAGATGGATACAAATATTGATATTAACATGAAGCAAAATCAGATCGATGTTCCGTCCCTCACGTGCTTGAGCTGTTCGGACTTGTCTAAACGATGGATTCCCCACGTCCTCACAAAACGTGTCTTGTACAATCGCCCATGGGTTTGGCCAGTAAGGGATATCGAGAACGATCTTCAGTTAGAAGGTTGCTATCGCTTATTCGGGTTATGTTGCTCTCCCAGGAGTGTCACAGATAATTTGACTGGACCAGCCTGAAGCTTGAGCAGCAGTATCGGCCAAGCATGCGGCGATGCCGAGCCAAGTCTGTATGTGAAGTCGGTTGCCACAAGTTTAGGGGTAAATGGTATATGGGTAGGTGTTTGCGCTGTTGCGGTAGCGATTGAGCGAAACGTCATTGAAGTGTCCCGGACAATTCTACTAACGTCGGTTCCCAATACGAAGGCGTGATGCCCCGATCTGCACAACGTGTTGTTTTGCTCGTGGCTTCTGCTATCCCTCGGATGGAGCTCGCGTGCCTGCCGGCGTTCCCTTGCCTGCTTTCCTCGCGCGTGCCCCTCCGGGCAGGCGCTCGCTCCTCCGCCCGCCCATCCACACCCCATCCCTGCTCCTTCTCCTCGTGCTCCCGCTCCCCCTCCTGCTCTGCCCCCCCCCCTCGCCGCCGCCCCTCTCCCCCCCTCCCCCTCCCCCCTCCCGGCTGGGCCCAGGCCTGGGCCCAGCTCCGTGGAGGCGTGGGCTTCTCTCAGGACGCACGCTCCGAGCACGCACGAGGCACTCCGGAAGGCACCCGCTGCTGAAGCAGCGCGGGCAGCCTCCAGGTACCCTTCCACAGGGCGCCCCCCCCTCCCCCGCTTGATCCCTCCCCCTCCCTCGCCCCTTCCTGCTCCGGCCCCTGCTCCTCCCCCGCCCCTGCTCCCTCTCCATCGACGTCCTCCGCCCCCCCTCCGCCCTCCCCCCTTCCCTCCTCGCTCGCTCCCAAAAGGCTCGGGCTCGTGGCCTAGACTCTAGGACGGGGTGAGAAACCTCCTCCTCCTCCTCCTCCGCCCTCCTCCTCCTCCTCCTCCTCCTCCCTCCTCCTCCCTCCTCCTCCTCCTCCTCCTCCTCCTCCTCCTCCTCCTCCTCCTCCTCCTCCTCCTCCTCCTCCTCCTCCTCCTCCTCCTCCTCCTCCTCCTCCCGTGCGCCTCGCGGCCCGTCTCGGCGAACAGCTCCCCTCTGCTGCAGACGAGCCTGTGCCTCGTCCTGCGCCCTTGCACCCCAGCGTGGAGCCCCCCGGGGCCGCCGGGCAGCCGCGGGCGCTCGGCCACCTCTCCCGAGGCCGGCCCCGCGGCGGGCGGGCCGCCGGGCGCCATCGGGGGGTTTGCGGCGTCTGGTGTTTCTCTCGTGCGCTCTCTTCTTTTTTTTTCTCTCTCTCTCTCTCTCTCTCTCTCTTTCTCTTTCTCTCTGTATCTCTCTATCTCTGTCTCTAGCTCTGTCTCCTTCTCTCGTTCTCTCTCTCTCTCTCTCTTGTTGTTTGTTCTCTCTCTCTCTCTCTCTCTCTCTCTCTCTCTCTCTCTCTTCCATGTATGTATATATATATGTATAGATACACACGTGTATATATATATATATATATATATATATATATAGCCGTACTAATGCCATGAAGCCCTACAGACATGGGAAATTGATCCAGCCAGACTTCAGGCCTGGTGGAGGGCCGCTGGGTCCAGAGCGCCCATGGAGGGCCTAAGACGGCCCCAGATGGCCCTCAGAGGGCCCAAAGACGGGCCAACAGTGCTCCAAGGCGCCCAAGATGGCCCCAAGACTGCCCAAGAGGCCCCCGAGACGCCCCAAGAAAGCCCCAAGAGGCCTCCCAAGAGAGCCCTCAGAGGCCAAAATCGTCAAATTCCTGAAGGGAAAACAGCACATTTCTAGCATATCCATTTTGAGGGCATTCCGACGCTCCAAGACGTCCCAAGACGCACCCCAGACCGCCCCAAGATGGCCCAAGGGGCCCCCAAGACGCCCCCACGACTTCCCAAGAGGGTTCCAGGACGGCCCAAGAGGCGTCCAAGACGGCCTAAGAGAGCCCCAAGACGGCCCCCGAGACCGCCAGCAGGCCCCCAACAAGCCCCAAGAGGCACCCAAGAGGCCCAGAAGAGGCCCCGAGAGGCCTCCAAATGGCCCCCAAGAGGCCCCAGGAGGCGCCCTGAAAGGCCCCAGCAGCAACCTCGAAGTTCACAAAGGACCGCGCGCCATGGCCGCCCCCCCGATCGTGTGCCGAGCCGAGGAACCAATTAGTACGGCGACGGTCAGAAAATCAACACAAACATATTTACATACTATAATTATGTATACACGCATATTGAATTACACAGGTCGACGTGTATAATCATGAGTATGTACATACGTGCTTTTACGTATACAAAGATGCAGGCAGACAGGGCACTTGTGAATGTGTATATATGCAAATGCATGTGTATATGCATATGTGTGTACGCCTGTAAAGCTGCATCCGTATATATACACATATTGACATGTATAAATATGAATGTATATATATATATATATGCACATGATGTATGGATGTATCGCCCCATCCCCCGTTCCCCTCCCCATCTCCATGCCGAGGGCTGAATCGGTGGCAGGGCGTGTCTAATTTGCGAGTGCCACAACGCCGAATGGACGCTCATGCGTGGGGCCGACAGGCGGCCAGGCCTCATCGCTCGATCGGACAGCGAGCCCTCGGTGCGAAGCGATTGATCATCGAGGCAGTCTCAGCAAGATTTAAGTCGGGCCTGTCCCTCTACAGGAGGAATATTCAAAAATAGTCAAGAAATAGTCGGGGGACGATGTTTCGATTATTTGTGGATCATTTGGGGGTATTTGTTGGGGTTGTTTTTAATCCGTTAGGGCTTCGCCCCCTGCCGCCGGCCCCCTCTCTCGGATACTGGTACGCAAGAGCGAAATCATGAGGCCTCGGCGCCGCCGTGAAACAGCATCGGCAAGAGAAATAGAGATTCTGATGATATTGTTGAGCTCAGTGCTGCATTTTGAACCTGCCTCCGTATGCTGTGCACTGAGGTTTCCCACAGAATTTCGGACATGTGGCAAATCCCCTCGGTTTTTCGACCCTGACCCTACAGCCTGGTGCGGACCCTGACCCAGGCACGGGGACACGAATACTACGTAATTCACAAGGGTTGATTGCTTCGGAAACGCGAATCTTCCATTACGAGGGTGTATGGATTCTTGGCCGAGATTACCGCGCAATGTACGAGGGTTCATGGTTTCGGGGACGCGAATATAGTGCAATTTGAACGTGGCATAGAAGGGTTTATTGCTTCGGAGACGCGAATCTGCCGTACATTACGAGGGTGCATGGTTTCTTGACCGAGATTCGAGTGTAATTTACGAGAGGTTCTGGCTTCGGGGACGCGAATATAGCGTAACTTAAATGGTTTGCAATGGTTGATGGCTTCGGAGACGCGAATATAGCATAAGTAACAACTGTTTATGGCTTCGGGGTCGCGACTATCGCGTCATTTACAAGGGTGTATGGCTTCGGGGTCGCAAATATTGCGTCATTTACTTTGGTTTATGGCTTCGGAGATGCGAATCTGGTGTACACTACGAGGGTTTATCTTCGGATACGCGAATCTTCTATAATGTAAGAGGGTTTGTGGGCTCGGGGACGCGAATATTAAGTAATTGTGAATTGTTCTTGCATCGGGAAAGCAACGACCGCGCAATTTAAAACAGTTCGCGGCTTCGGAATACATTGTGATTTCGTTCGTGTCTTCGGATCCGCGAGTATAGCGTAATCTGCGCGGGTTTATGGTTTCGGCTACGCGAATATTACATGATGCCGCATGATTATTGAATCGAGAACGCATAATATCGTACACATTTACAACGGTGTATGGCTTCGGAGGCGCGAATATAGTGTAATTTACAAAAGGTTTATGGTTTCGGGGACGCGAATATTGCATGGTTTATTAGCGTTTGTCGCTCGGGGGCACAAGCATCGCGTAATGTACGAGGGTTGATGGCTTCGGAGATACGAATATGGCGTATTTTGCAATGGTTTACAGCTTCGGGGACGCGAGTATTGCGTACAGAGGGTTTATGGCATTGGGGACGCGAACATTGCTTAATTTGCAAGGTTTTATGGCCCCGGGGGCGCGATTTCCATGTTTTTTTTCATGTCCCACGCCCCCCCCCCAGGAATTCAGAGCACCCGACTCGGGCGTGGTAATCCGGACGTTTTTTGGCTCCCCCCCTCGCGCGTTCTAAAACAAGGAACAGTTAGCAGCATAAAGCAATATTGTAACAGTTGAAACTGGAACTGGCGCAGTGAGCAGCAAACCCTCGCCCTACAACCTGGTGGCCCCACAAGGGGGCTGGCGGATTTTTCGTCCAAAATCCGCCTGTAGGGGGACGTGCCCGACGTGAAGCAGGATCCCGAGTGCGAGTATGCCCACATAGATCCACGCTCTTCTGGCGGACGGCAGCGGGGGGCGATGAGCCCGGGTGAAGCGAGGATTCGCAGAAGAGGTGGCCCTGAAAGGCCCCTGAATTGCCAATGCGGGCTCGACTGTAAGGCGCACGAGAGGCACACGCTTGTTCACCCCACGTCTTCCTCGCCCCCCAACCCGCTCACGAACACCCGACCCGCCTCCGCGACTCGGGGCTGGACCTAAACAATTTTCTCGGTAATTTCGTGGGCCGTTTTCATTTCGATTTCGTTTTGCGAGAAAGGCGGGTTCGAGACAAAAGCGAGGGATAAAGAAGACACGACGAAATCGAAAAACACCGTTTAGGTTTCGCCCTGCGCGCCCTCATCTCCCCCCCCCATCTTCCCCTGGAGGAGGAGGAGGAGAAGGAGGAGGATGAGGAGGAGGAGGAGGAGGAGGAGGAAGAGGAGGAGGAGGAGGAGGAGGAAGAGGAGGAGGAGGAGGAGGAGGAGGAGGAGGAGGAGGAGGATTCGCCCTGCGCGCCTTCATCTCCCCCCCCCCATCCTCCCCTGCAGCAGCCACGCCCTGCCAACCCGCAGGACCTGGAGAGCGGCCAGGCCGGCTGCCGAGCGTCCTGCGAGCCGGGGCGCCACGTGACGGACCCCCATGGGGGGGGGGGCGCCTTGGAGCTTCCGAGGAGCAGGGCCAGAGGCTGTGGCAGCGCTGCGCTCCAAGACGCCCCAGATGTCCTAGAGAGCTTAGAAGAAGAAACAAAAGAAGCTTAGAAGCTTAGAAGCTTAGAAGAAGAATAAGAGCATAGGAGCTTAGAAGCTTAGACGAAGAAAAAAAGAAGCTTAGGAGCTTAGAAGCTTAGAAGCTTAGAAGAAGAGCATAAGCTCAGAACAAGAAAACAAAACATGAGCATAAACGTTTTTGGCGTTCCGCGCGGATGTCCTGGGCCCGCGCCTGGCCCCCCCCCCCCGGCGGCGCCGCCCCTGGCGCGCTCCGCGCGCCAGGGAGGGGGGTCCAGCGCGGATGCAAGAGATCCGCGCGGAGCACCGAAAGTTTGTGGTTATGTGTGTTTTTGTTATTAGTTTTATGGTTATGTGTTTTTTGTTATGTGTTTTTTGTATGGTTATGTGTTTTTTGTTATGTGTTTATGGTTATGTGCGGAGCACGGGCTCCACAAGCGGGGGGCGTTGGATATTCCAGAACTCTTGGAACGCGTCCTGAGCCAATCGCCTGATGACACTGGTCTCGTGCTACTCCGACGAAGGGGGAGACAACGCGATTCCTGAAAGCATTTTCTGTTGCTTTCAGGATTTGCTCGGTTTAGATAGAGATCTTTGTTTAAAGGGAAGGGGGGAGAGGAGGGATGGGGAACTGGGAATAACTGCTAGTAGTACGTTTCAAGACTTCCAGGATGTCCTCGATTTCCCATTGTTCAGCAGACACGAAGGCAGCTAGATCCTCCAGAACCCCTGGAACGTGTCCTGAGTCAATCGCTTCACGACATCGTTGTCGTCCTACTTCCACTGCGACGGAACAGGCGGGCAATGAGCGCCGTAAAAACATGAGGTGTTCATCTCAAGTGTTTCTGATTTCAGAGACTTTTGATTTCAGGCAAGGGGGGGAAAGGGGAGGGCGGGGAGAAGCGGTTCGAGCTTCGAGGTCAAAGTGGGGGAGAGGTTTTCCGAGTGCAGGGGGGGGAGAAGGTGGGGAGGGGGGTGGTGGGCGGAGGAGGAGGAGGAGGAGGAGGAGGAGGAGGAGGAGGAGGAGGAGAGGAGGAGAGGAGGAGGAGAGGAGGAGGAGGAGGAGGAGGAGGGGAGGAGGAGGAGGAGGAGGAGGAGGAGGAGGAGGAGGAGGAGGAGGAGGAGGAGGGGGTGGTGGGCGGAGGAGGAGGAAGAGGAGGAGGAGAAGGAGGAGGAGGAAGAGGAGGAGGAGAAGAAGGAGGAGGAAAGAGGAGGAGGAGGAGGAGCATGAGAAAGATCAAGCTTTTTGGCGATCGGTGGGCCTCAGGAGGCGTCCTGAGACCTCCGAGGAGCTCGGGAGGCCTCCAGAGATCGCGTGCGCGGTCCGCCCCGGGAAGAGGGAGAGGAGGAGGAGGAGGAGGAGGAGGAGGAGGAGGAGGAGGAGGAGGAGGAGGAGGAGGAGGAGGAGGAGGAGGAGGAGGAGGAGGAGGAGGAGGAGGAGTTGGAGGAGGAGAAGGAGGAGGAGGAGGAGGAGGAGGAGGAAGAGGGGGAGGAGGAGGAGGAGGAGGAGGAGAAGGAGGAGGAGCTCTAGACTTGTGCACTGTTTCTCGTCCTGGCCATACTTGCCTGATTTCGAAGGCCCTTCGCCATGGTGTCAGGCGCCTGTTGCATGGACGTTGCATCCTTGCTTGTCCCGCGGAAGACCGCGGGCCGTGACGCTCCAGCTATCAGCGCCCCCGTGGCCAGCGCAAGAGGGGTCACGCAATGCGTATAGCCGACCTAAACACTGCACGGCGGATGGACGCCCGAGCGATGGCAAGCTCACGCGAGCAGCTTCTGCCCCCGTCCAGGAGGAGAGCCCGCTGCCCTGGAACTGCACGGCGCTGGGCGGGCGCACGCCGGGCGAGGCGCCGGAGGAGCGCCGCGGGGCTGCCCCCCCGACGGCAGCGGCCTCGGGCGGGGACCATTTCTTTGTGGAGGGAGGTCGACGATCGAGGAGGTGTTCCGGAGTTTTCTGCTTGCTTTTCTAAGCTGTCCTGAGTTTCCTGAGTCTTCTGCAGTTTCCGAGGCCCGGAGTGGTTGCCATCAGCTGCGCCTCGTCGAGAGCGTTCCAGGGGTGCCCGAATCGTCCCGAACGGCCACGGGAGAGCCGAGTTTTGACCTGAAAACCACGGGGGAGGATCGAGGATCGAGGAGGCGGATCAAGGGCCAAGGAGCATCTCAAGGGTCGGGGAGTAGGATCAAGGAGGAGGATCGAAGGTCGAAGAGTATCGAGGCGGAGGGTCAAGGAGGATCGGGGCGGGTCGAGGAGGAGGATCCAGGATCCAGGGGGAGGATCGAGGAGGCGGATTGAGGACCGGGGGGGGCGAGGATACCGAGGCGGCCCGCCTCCTCCCCCTCCTCCGCCGCCGCCTCCTCCTAGGTCCCTCGACGCTCCATCGAGCCCCGAGACTCCTGGCCGCAAAAGCGCCGCTCTCCGGTGGCGCCGGCCGCGCCCTGTCCGGAGAGGGGCGCCCCACCCGCGCTCCATGGGGCGGCGAGCGGGCTTCGGGGCGGGGCCAGGCAGGGCCAGGGCCTGGCGGACCGGGGGTGCTGGCCCTTGGCATCGCTCGCGGTCGTGCGCAGGTTTTCTCGGCGGGGACCATCGAGGCGCTGGCCCGCACAGCCAAGCAGTGGCGAAGCGTCCTGGCTTTGCTTCACTATAGGCCCACACGGGACTGTTCTAACAGCCGCTCGTGGTTTGCACGACATGTCCTTGTTTGGGCTCGTCCGGCTTATGTTCTAAGAGCAGTGCTGCTGCTCTCAGAACAACAGCGCTGTTGCTCTCAGATCGTTGCTTGGCTCTCAGAACATGCCGTGATAGGCCTGCAGGAATGCTGGGGCGGTCGGCCCCTGCTCCACACAGGGGTCCGGGCCAGGGGGCCCGGTCTCGCCCGCCGCGCCTCGTCTCGGGTCTCGGCACGAACGAAATGGGTACGGAAAGAATGGGTACAATGCCCAACAGCAGTTCCTGATTCGCTGTTGGTGTCGCCGCGGCCCGTGTCCATTGGCGACAGAAGGCCGCCTGCCCAACAGTGGCCGCTGTTCACCACCCACCAAACCACCTCAACCCAACCCCCCGAAGGCTCAGATTCACCCTCGATTTCCAGTGGGGGGGGGTTGGGAAACATCGAAAAAACACGTGTGGAACCCTTACCCCCCCCCCCAACCCGAAATTCGGGTCTTCGGGTTGGGTTGGGGTGGTCTGGCAGGTAGTCAGCTGTTGGTTTGGGACAACATTTGATGTTGGGCACTGTACCCATTCTTTCCGTGCCCTTTTCGGGCGTCCAAACCGTCGAGGCCGGGCGGGGCCAGGGCAGGCGGGGCCCCCGGGTGGCTGAGTGCGGGGCGGCGGCGGCCTGCGCGATCCGGCTCGGCCTCCCCGCGCCCCCGAAGAGTCGCGCACGGTCACTCTTGCGCCAAGGGGAAGAGGAGGAGGAGGAGGAGGAGGAGGAGGAGGAGGAGGAGGAGGAGGAGGAGGAGGGGATCCCGTTGCCTAGGGTCACTCTTGCGCGCAGCCGAGCCAGGGGCAGAGGAGAAGTCGTCCCAGAGCGTTCCAGAACGCTCTCAGAGCGTTCTCGGAGCGAACTGCCGCGGCGCCCGAGACGTCCCTCAGAGCCGCTGGATCTGAGAGATCACCGAGGCGTCCGGATCCGAGGCTGTCCCTGTCTTGGCCTCGTTTTGGTCGGGGTCGTGGGTGCACACCATGCTGCGAAGTGGCCTCCTCGATCCTCGAGGGCCTCTGCGAGGATCGGGTCCGCGGCTCCGTTCTTTTTGAGGAAGGGTGGGGGTGGGTGGGCGGCGCCTCTTCCCCTCGGCTGGTGCCGAGCTCCTCTGTCTTCCTCCTCCCGCCGCCCTCCCCCCGCCGCTTCCGCTCCCGCCCCTCCCACACCAGTGACGACGACGAAGCGACGGCCCGCCGCCCGCGGGCCGCCCCCGGCGCTCGGAGGGTGGCCGCCCGGGCGAGGTCGGGCAGGGCGGGGCACCGCGAGAGGTCGCCTCGGTACGCCGCTCCGCCGCCCGGGCTGCCCGCTGCCGGGCTGCCCGGCGCGCGCGCGCGCCGCCCGCCGCGCTGGGGCGCCGCGGCGGGGCTCGACGGGGACGCCCGAGCGACGGAAGAAAATCAGAGCGTGAATTACCTCTTGGAAGCGAGGGTGGTCAAAAGCGAGGTAGGTTTGTTTCCCCCCCAGAAAAAGGACACGTGAGCGACGGAAGACAGCGGGGTCGTCTGCACCGATGATGATTGGCGCGTGCAGGTTGCCCGCGCAAGGTCGCGCGCAGGCGCCCTCGTGTCCCATGCGGCGTGCCGCACTGGCGGCCCGGGTAAGCCGCCGCGTGAGGTCGCTGAGCAATCTCGCGCAAGTAAGACCCCTTTCATTTCGCCGCCCAGCATCCGGGAAGGAAGAACTGCATAAACCCGATGTTTCGGAGGTCCACAACTTCCTGGATCTGCGCTGGCCCCCCTGGCGGATGCCTCTGGCGCCGCCCTTGTCGCGCTCCGCGTGCCAGGGGGGGGGGGCGGGCACAGCGTCGGTGAAAGAGATCTGCGCGGACCTCTGAAAGCTCACGATTGTGCTGCCTTTGCCTCTTCTGCTGCAGGGCCCCTCGCCTGTCAGAGCTCTGCAGAGCAGGTCCTGGACACACGAGCCATCCAAGATAACTTTCGTCCAGGGCATCTCTGGTTTGGGCCCACGAGGCGCGAATCTGCAGCTACCCCTGCCCGCCCCCTGCCCTGATGATTCGGGGCTCTGCAGCTCCGAGGCCACGAGGCGGGCCTCCGTGGAGCCCTGCGCGAGCGGCGCTCGACAGGCCTCTGCTCGGTGCCGGCGGGAGGGGTCCGCGCAGCTCGGGCCGGGGATCGGGCCGAACGAAGGGGTGGGATTTGGAAAGGGGTGGTTACGAAATCTGCTGCATGCAGCTGGTTTCGGCCCCGCCGCCGGGCCCATTCCTCGATACATGGGCGCCTCCCGGCGCCGGGAGGCGCCAGGAAAATCAGCTACGTGAGCTGATTCTCAAACCCCCCCTTTGCTATCCCCCCCTTTCGCCCGGCCCGAGGGGAGGGCCGCGGCGGAGCAGCCAGCGGTCTCCTGGCCAGGGACCCAGCGGCCAGCGGAAGCCCAGCCTCGAGAGAGCACGGAAGGACGGAGAGCACGATGCTGGGGCCGACGCATCTGAGCGACGCAACAAAAACGGGGCCATCTGCGCCGACATTCGCGCGTAAGCTGCCCGCGCAAGGTCACGCGTAGGCGCCCTCGTCTCCAGTTTGGCGCGCCGCGCTGGCGGCCCGCGTAAGCCGCCGCCGAAGGTCGCTGAGTCATCTCGCGTGAGACCCGTTCTGGCCGTCGCTCCTCTGTCTCCCAGCGCCCGCCTCTTGCGCGGCTGCTCCCCCTCTGCCCTCCGCGAGCTGACGGCGACCAGCATGGGGCAGGGCGGCCCTCGGAGGGCGCAGGGCGCAGGTAGGGGCAGTCTTCTCCGAGAAGCCCCCCCCGGTGCCTTTCTCGAAGGTCGCCCCCTCACCCTTGGCCCCCCCCCCCCATCCTCGCCGCCAATGGAGAGGCATAAGCAAAACGGGCTCGACTGCCCCGACATCCTCGCGCAGGCTCCCCGCGGAAGCTCGCGCGCAAGCGCCGGCGGAGGCCACCGCGCGAGATCACCAGCGCGCATCTCGCGTGTAGGACGCGCGTGTTTTCGTCGCTCAGTTCAACCAGAGAAGGGGGGATGGCGAAGGAGGAGTCGGAAGTCTGCTCCATGCAGCCGGTTGGGACCCCCGCCGCCAGGCGCCTTCATTTAACACGGTGGCGCCTCCCGACGCCAGGAGGCGCCGAGAGATCAGCTGCGTGAGCTGAGTTGCTACCCCCTCCTCTTCCCGAGCATTTTCTTTGGGTGGAGGGCAGAGGGTGAAATCTGAAATGCCGTTTCGATAGATGTTCGAGGCTCAGATCTGTTCGAGGTGGATCACAGGACGGATTGGTTTTCGAGGCGCAAGAGCCCATATGGATTTCACCCTGAGCCCTCCACCCTAAAATTAAGTCGGGCCTGTCCCTCTACAGGGGGAATTTTTAAAAAATAGTCAAAAAATAGTGTGGGGATTATTTTTTAGTATTATTGGGCATCGTTTGAGCATTTTTGTTTTTTATTTTTCGTCCAAAATCCCCCTGTAGGGGGACAGGCCCGACCTAACCCTAAAACGAATTGCAGTCTTCGTCCGATCCGACGAGTGCCGGTGCCGCCCCCCGCCCCCAGCTGCGTCCGCGCGCTCCTCGGGCCACCGCAGGAGCCCGAGGCCGAGAGGGCGGCGGGCTGGGTCAAGGAGCTGTGCGCCAAGAGCGGCGAGAACTGCACGGCCCGTGGGGAGCAGCAAGAGAAGGAGACGTGGAAGAGGAGGAGGAGGGGGAGGAGGAGGAGGAGGAAGGAGGAGGAGGAGGAGGAGGAGGAGGATTGGGGCCAGTGGAGAGAGAGAGAGAGAGAGGAGGAGGATTGAGGCCAGTGGAAAGAGTGAGAGAAGGAGGGAGAGACAGAGATGGAGAGAGAGAGAGAGAGAACAACACATGGTGAAATAAATGAAGAAAGAAGTAGAGAGCGAGAGAGAGAGGCAGACAGAGAGAAAGAAAACGACGCCACACACTCAGACGCACGAACACACACACACACACACGCACACGCACACGCACACGCACACGCACGCACACGCACACGCGCACATACACATGCAAACACACTCACTTTTTGGCAGAAACGGCCTCGCGCGCGGCGACAAGGCGGAGTCAGTAAGAGTACTAAGCGTGGGACACACACACACACACACACACACGCACACACACACAAACACACACGCACACACACACACACACGCAATCACACACACACACACGACACGCACACACACACGACACGCACACACACACACACACACACACGATAGTGAAGAGAGATCCCAAAGCTGAAACCTGTCACTGAAGTCCTCCCCAGTCTCCTGCTCCTCCTCAAAGTCGGCACCGTATCACACACAGGTAATGAAGTGGTGAGAGCAAGAGCAACGAACGGGATGAAGCCAATCAGCAACAACGGTAGCAATCAAGATACAAGTATTTCATGCCTGCCCCGCCCGAGCGAGTCTGCTTTCAGCACGGTCTGCTGCCGCGGCAACTCGGGAGGCCTCCGCCTCTAAAGCAGGCCTGAACCCAAACGGCGACAGAGATGATCACATGTGCAGAGAGAGCTGGCAACTTAATGCGGGTTATACAGCAGACAATCTGTGACATCACATGCGAACAAAACTGCCGACACCATCTGACCACAGCCGGTGTCCCCCAAAGCCCTAAAGTCTGAACCCGTTAAGGCCCGAGACCTTCCCAAGAGCACAACTACGCTAGAGGAAAATAGAGTATACATCCGAGACTAGTTCTGATGAAGCTTAAATCTGAAAAGACTACACGCACGCGCACACACACACACACACACACAAACCCACCACTTCATAGGGAGGTTCAGACGAAGAACCTTTGGCTCAACGGGATCACAAGTTGGCGGGTTCGCGCGGGTGCGTTGCGTGGGCACGACAACAAATCGATTCTATCTGTACAAAGGCCCCAATAATCGTACAGTATAGATTAGACATGGGTAGCCAAGCAAACGAGGGATTGGTGATAGAGCAAGCGGAGGAAGCACGTCACTCAGATGTTCACCTTCCCCAAGAGAAGACTGGATCGCAGACGTGGGTAACGTGAGCAAGGACCCAACTTAGACCATAGCTGGACATCGCAGTACTGACAATGGAAGTAAGGTTCTGAGAGAGCTCCGAGAGAACGTCTTACATCGTCGTAGAAGCACTGAGACCAACCTTATGCATGACGAGACATACCTCCAGACAAGCGAAGATCACCAATAAATTCATTGCAAATGAGAAGACAGTCCAGAAACTCAAAGAGGTGAACGGAATCCTTCCTCATCGGTGTCCGTGAAAGTCAGGCTGACGAATGGAAAGAGCTGCTCAGGGTGGGGTGTCTTTAATCGCGGTCTCGCTCCACTTCGCCATCATTGTCAAGGTGCTGAAAAATCTTGTTCCCAATCGTCGTGTAGGACTTCACATCTTGAATCCAGGACTCTGCATCCGAGTCGAAGCTGCGTAGCTTGGACTGCCATTGGCCGACAGATTTGAGCTTACAGACATGTGACCACCACTCCTTCCACGGAAGCGGAAGGTTCTCAGCCAGGGTCTTCACTTCTTTGCGATCCAGGCTGATGCCCAGAGCGCTGAGAGCGGCCTCGGTCGTCTCCTGGTCCATCGTGGTCTTGAGAAGAGGTGAAGGAGCCTGGGGCACAGCAGGACCCTTATCCCTGTCCTGCCCTGGAGCCCGCCTGGCTGGAAGGGGGCCTTCTGCGGACTTGAACATGTTTATCAACTCACGCACGTCCGATCCTATCTGGACGATGGTGTGCTGAATAGACTGCATGGCCTCCTTCTGCCCAGACTGCTCCGCGCTGAGGGCATCGAAATCCTGACGCAGCTTCTTGAAGGCCGGCTGCGACTCAAGATCGAAACCACTAGGCGGGGTCGGTGATGTCGTCATCGTAGGAGGTGCGGTCGAAGGTGCAGGCGTAGATTGGCTGGCCCGTACGAACTCGGAGAGCTGATTCACCGTCTCCGTCAACCTGGAGTCACCGCGCGGCGCTGGAGACTGCGGTTACATCGCCGTAGACGTTGGCGACGGCGGAGGCTGAGCGGCCTTGATCACGTGCGTGAAGGCCGCGGCTAGCTCGTGGGTAGAGGCGCTGGCTGGAGCAGGGACACCACCACCTGCTGGAGTTGGCACCTGCGGGTTGAAGCTGTTGTTCTGCGGCTGGGCACTAGCCAACGCGCTGCCAATCTGGGCCATCTGGCCGAGGCTCGCGAGATTGCCCATCATATCATTGAACTGATCTGCCATCGTAGCAAAACCTCCACCCTGACGAGGCTGGAAACCACGTGGATGGTGCTGCTGGTGGCCCTTGCCGTGGTACGGGTTCCTCCCTCCCTGCTGCTGCCACGGCTTGCCACCCATCTCGGTGCGTGGGATTGGCGTTGAGGGTAGGAGGCAGGGTCGGCCCCCGTGAGGCCGTACTTCAGAGGCACGTCGGAGAAGGGCTCGGGCCACAGAACAATTACGGATATGATCTTGGAGACTTCGGGTGGTCCTGGATTTCGCAGGGGAATAGGCTTGGGCAACCAACCGTAGGCCTAGTTAAGCGAGATCCTGAACTTCCGAGGAGGGCTGAATGCGGGCCCAGAGCTTATAGATGAACGTGTAGGGGTACCCGAGATGGATGTAAACCAAGATGTCAATAATAATCATATGTAGGAGTAGAGCTGGATGTGTAGAGAGACTGCGCCAACGAGAAAGTCTACCCCGAAGTTCGGCCCGATGTCGAAGGGAAATGTGTCGACTTTTGTGATGCGTATACGGGGGGATCGACGACTTCTCGATGTACTGGGGGTCACCTGTCCAGGCGAACTTCATATTTTTGTGTTTGGGGCTCAGCAAGAACTCCTGGAAATTGAAGTGGATCCTGGCATCTAAGAACGTTTGGGCGACAGTCTCGACAGTCACGACATCGAAATTCTCGTCAACCTTAAAAACCACAATGTTTTTGTAGACACAGACGATGATCGGACGAACGCAATCTCGGCAAAGGGTACGAGATAACATAATCAAGTCATCCACGTAGCGGCCCATGGCCAGGTGGCGGAAACGCGAAGGGTTAGCGGTATCATACAAGGTCTCGCAGCGAGAGAGTACAATCTCGAGAATACAGCCTGAAAGTGGGCCTCCGATCGGAATGCCCTGCAACTGCTGCAAGAAAACGTCACCCATGCGGAAGATTCGCATGCCAAGAAAGCCATAAATTGCGCGTCGCATGGATTTCATGGAAAAGATAGTGCGATCAGCATCTGGTATTTTGTAATCTCCTCCCCATCGTGTATCATATCCT